AAACTAGGTCAAGCGATCGAAATTAATAACAAGTCTACACCTGAAGTTATTAGAGCCTTAATAAAGTACTTTTCTTTATACGGAACACCCAATAGAATCAGTTCAGATCCTGGTACTGAATTCAATAACACATTAATGAAGGAAATGCTCTCTTTTTATAAAATAGATCTCCACATAGGCACTCCTCATAACCCAAACTCCATGGGAGTAGTCGAGCGATTTCACTCCACCATCATAGAAATATATAGGATTGCCAAATACGAACAAAAGATAACAGATGCTGCATCAGTTATGGCATACGCCATAATGTCCTATAACCACACAATACATTCTACAACGGGTCTCACCCCATTTGAAGTAGTTTTTGGCCACACGGAATCAAATAACGTATTTCACGTCGATTTCAACAAGCAATTTACACAACAAACTCGTAAAAGAACATGCCCGACGAACGAAATACTTATACAAATATCTCACAGATAAGATCATAGACAAAAAACAGACGGAAATAAAGAAGCGAGGTGGTGATACAAATTTCGACATAGACATAGGTGACACAGTGTACATAAAAGGGGTAAACACTAGGCGCGGCAAAGATAAACCACGGTATCAAAAGGCTCAAGTTACTGGAGTCATAGAACGTAACGTGGTACCCATCACTACGAATAATAGGAACACCAAGGTACCTATTAAAGATATCAAACGCCCTCCGCAGGTTACTCCTTCTGGTGGTCCAGACGGGAGCCTTTCTTCTACACCGGATTGACAAGAACCCCGGACTACTACCTATTAAAGAAGGACAAGCCCTGGTCAGCCATGACGCTTGGACACTCATTAAAATTTTAGATTTAGAATTATTATATGAGGAACTAGAATCCAATATGAATAGTTACGTAAAGTTAAAAATCCAGATTAAAAACTGTTTTGATAGTAGAATATTAGATTCGGACCTTTCCGACGTCGAAACACAAAACCGATTATGTCATGAACATAACTATAGAAAAATTTAAACAACTAAACCCGTCAATAAGATCTAAGCGTGGTTTGCTAAATCCCCTTGGCTCATTAATTAAGACAATCACTGGCAACCTTGATAACGATGATGCTGTAAGGTATGAAAAATTAATTCAGGATGTTCAGGCGAAACAAAACACTTTAAACAGTAAAATAACAATCGTCGCTGAAATGTTGGGTTCATTCTCAAAAATAGCAAATTCTACCAAAAGTAATTTTGTAAAAATTGAAGAAAGCATTCAAGATATTATTCACAAATTAAACGAATCAAAAGTTTTACAATCGATTAATAGAGTTGTCCATATCTATAATGCTTTCCTCAACCGATTTCAAACTCTCTACCTAAGGCTAAATGAAATTGAAACGGTCATTGCTTTTGCCAAAGTAAACCAATTACACCAATCAATAATAGATACAGACGAACTAATAGCATTATTAAGAAAAATTGAGAAAACCGACAAGCTTGTGTTTCCAGCTAATATAGAGAATATAGTAAGAATAGAGCAATCTATAGAATTAAAAGCCTACGTAAAACAAAATCAGATAAAATTAATCATGCAAATTCCTCTAATCAGAAATGATGTCTTTAACTACTTCAAATTGATTCCCGTACCTATCTATAATACCAGAAGCGACCTTACCTCCCTCATTATTCCTAAGTATCCTTATATCCTTGTGAAAGGGTTGAAAGCAATGCCACTCTCCCAGCCATGCAGCGAGATCGACGAAGCCCGCTTCCTATGCTTCGAAAATAATATACCACCGATGGAAGATGACTGCATCACTGATCTCATGAAGTTTTCCACAAACATTACTTCCTGTCAGCCAGTATCCGTGACCATAAATAACGTAAGAACATACCTGATACAACCAAACCGATGGATTATTTATGCTAAAACAGAAACACTGTTGACCAAGTATTGCAACGACGAAATTTCACAAGAACCTGTTTTCGGAACTTACCTATTAACCATAGACGACGACTGCGAAATTAGAATAAAAGACCTCAAGCTGAAGAAACGCCAAAATCGAGGAAAAGAAATATCTTATCCGAAGTTCCCAAATATCCAGTTACCGACAATTCAAGCAAACCCAACGTCTGGTCTCCAGAAACCCGTAAACCTAAACAGAGTGGACCTTGCCGATATTCAGTTCCTGAATTATCTATTACAAAAGAGTGGAAGTGAATTTAGTGATAGTGAAAATTATAATAGTATGGTTAACCCAAAAAGCATTGGTGTAGGGAACATAGCATTCTTTGTAATAGTGGTATCGTGTATTGTACTTTTAGCTTTTAAGAATAGTATTAGGAAAATATGTAACCGTATTTTAGGAAAAACTCGGGATCATCCCCACCCTGCGGATAATCCCGATCTTGCGGAGGGAGGAGTTACACGATCTACTCCCGTTCCTGGCCCTTTGTTCCTCAATAACGCTTAGTTAGCGCCCGCGGTTCCCACGCATCGTAACGCGAAGTGGAATGTTCCGACGACGACGAAAATGCAGAGGCAGCAGTTCCAGCCCTCGTTTCTTTTAGTATTAAGTTTAGTCGTAAGGACAGTCTGTAAAAAACATCCGATTGTATCACTCACTTGTAATTTTTAATTAACATTAAATATTAAAAATCGATTTAGTGTCTTTTTAAAAAAGCAAGTTGCGCCTTCCTCAAACTTGACTACCTTTTTAACAATAACTGTACAAATATAAAATATAATTCTTTGCTTTCCTTTTATATCTTAAGCAAATTTTTACATTTACCAACAGCTGAGTAAACATAAAATTAAAAAACATATAAAAGCAACGCGGCCCTATTACAATGTAAAAAAGTACGGAGATGTTATGGAAAGGAAACTGTACTTCGCATGGACACATGCGCATGTGCGTGACTTACGCAACGTGTGGAGTGATATCGACCTAGTGGACTCTATTCCATGAAATTAAATGAACCTCATTCTACGGACAGAAGGCAAAACATCGTTATTTTAAAGTTTAAATATTTCTGCGCTCGCTAGTCCCCTGGCTAATGTCCTAATAATGCTATGAAAAACACTATTGGAACAAGCTGTGTCTGGGTTCTTCTTTAAATTGATGGAACTTTTTGGAATTCCATCCACTAAAAAGTTTGAAACAAATTTACCTTAAATAGATAAATTGTCTTTATTTTTAAAAGCAATCTGAACACGGAGATTTTACACATTAAAAATGTATTGATTGAAAGAAGATTGATACTAGCCCAGCAATAAGCAATTTAATGTAAAGTACTGACCATACGTTAGCTTCTCTCTCAGTCTTATTAGGTTCGATTTCTGCAAGGGACTGTTAGAATATTTTATCCTCGATGGCAGAACTTCTGTGCCTGTGACGACCAACGCGGGTAGGGGGACCTCAGAGGTCCGTCTTCTCCACAACTCTCTTCATGCTGCATGATAATAACCTGTTAATGCCCAGCGTGTATGGATATTCGAGTTATTGCACAGAGGTGGAGAGCTACAACCGAATTTTCGGGCCAATAGATATTTAATTCGGTCCGAAAGAGAGCTATGGTAGAACGTTTAAATCTCACATTGCACGCAGTCTTCGACTGCAGTCATGCTTATGTCATGCCTTGTCTTGTGAGACTCTCTCTGGACTAGGTGAAGAGGCCTGCAAGGGGCCTGACCTGGTTAGAACCAATCGCATTGCACCAATGCAACCAATGAACCTAGATTGCACCACAGCTAGCGTGAACAGACTTTGACAATTCTCCGGAATAGTTAAATTCATCCCGCCCCATTTCATAATCGGACAGACGATCTGCAAGACGGCCTAAAAACGAAAAGGTTAACCTCCTCTTTCGTAATGCGTCCAGCAAAGTGTTACCGTCCGATTATAATATTATCTTCAAGCCAAAAGCGAATAGGTAGTTACTGAGCTTGTGCGTTAACCATAAGACTTCTATCTTACTTACTATCAAGTGAGGCGGTATTAAAGCACTACCGTGCTTTTGAGTAGAAAGAACAAATAATTTGTTTGACCAAAAGCTAAATATACCACAAACAAAAAATCTTCGTACAACACAGAATAACGGTAGTGAATATTTAACTTTAGTGGTAAAAGTAAATATAAACAACATTTAACGTGGAAAAAGTCTTGCTTTTAGGCTACTATTTGCGCCTTTATAATATACATTTTTCTGGACAATTTTTTTATTAAAAATACACATAATATATTTACTCCTTATAGTCTACTGTATATTCAGATTTAGAACACTGGTTATTTTGAACAGCTTACAAAAATTATAAGAATTTTCTTCTTAAATAATACAATTGATGATCGTATTGTAGTAAGAACAGAAAATATAATACATTAAAACATTAACATAAGAAATTTCTCAGCAATTCTAAATAAATATGGTTTTTCACCACATTTAGGAAGCGAAAATATTCCATTTCCATCCCGATGGCCATTCTAATCATTTCATTGTACAAACAAGTATTGCCATATCTGCACTGCAAAACTAAAGTAACATTACTTCTCAGACTATAGAAAGAACCTTTCTGTATTCTTAGAGGTAACGTTCTATTATTTCTGAATTCTCAGTGTAACCAAAATATTTTAATTAAAATTAAACATAAGATATAATAAACGTAACACATAAATGACCAAAAAATTGTTTATAATAAAATAAATGAAGCGAGAATTTCGTATGAAGTTTACTCAATATTCCTCTGTGCCGTATAAAGCAATATTTATTTAACTTCGAGTATTTCGATTAAGGAAAAAAGAAATGTATTTAGCCATTTTATGATATAAATTGTTTTTAAGAACATATTAAAATTCTACCTTTTAGAAGTATATTTTAAAAATTCTTGCAACTTGAGCCTTGTGATAGGTCACGTGACAGCACGTGAAAGCCCATAGACAAATTATCCATTCGTCAGTTTTCGGGCGAGGAGGCAGCGAAGTTTGGTGTTTTATTGAGCGGACTGCCAAAAGAAAACTGAAACATGGCTAAAACTCTCTCCGCCTCGCAGGCTAACAAGGAGCATGTCCTGGCCGTATCCAGGGACTTCATATCCCAGCCCCGTTTGAGTGAGTATATTTAACACCATTTTCGTAGCCATTAGTAAAATACAACTTGTACGTCAAATTATTGATTTTGCTTCCAAGGAATTTTGCACTAAAGCAAATGTCTTACGTTATGTTGTTCTGCTATTGTAATGCGTGAAATTAATTTTTTAAAGAACATCGTTTTATTAATTAGGAATTTCAGATCATATTCATGAAGAATTAGATAGCTTTGACTGCTTTATCACTTGTTCAGAATAAGTAAAATTTTCGTTGCTCCCTTTTCCTATGTGGTATATTCTTCACTTTTATGTTCAAGTATCTTATGAAATAATTTTAGGCTGAGTGAATAGATTTGATATTTATTCGTTTTTCAGAAAGTATGTATAATTAAATGTATTTTACGAAATCATAAGTTACTCTTACATTTATTTTCATTGAATATTATCGAAAGAAAAAATGTGACATGTAATGAGTATAAGACTTTGCAAGCACCTTAAGTTTTTAATTTCATTTAACAGATTTAAGATTTCCTAGAAACTTAAACTGTAACAAGGATTAATCCAATATTAATTTTCCAGATATGCAAGTGATCTAACTTTGCCTTTGAATGATCAGCTGATTGTTCTGTCTATGGTTGTAATAGAGTTAATAGATTTTGTAAAAAGATTATTTCTTTTGGTTTATCTAAAATATGGCCTGGCTTACCTATTATGAATTCAAATATGGTCTTTATAAAAATGTTAATTGTTTCATATTTAAATTGAATCTAATTGCAAATCTTATTTGTTTCTTATTGGATTGTCATGTGACCTAAATGTCATATAGTATTTGTGTGATTTCATTTGAAGCATCATATTTTACAAAATCAGTGAACTAAATGCTGTAATTTGTTTGAGAAATGTGGTAAAAGAAAGAATTGAAATGGTCATGGTAATTGAATAATTGAGACAATCTCATTTATTTTTATTTATTATATGTTAATAGCCATAGAACTAATTGATTTTCCTTCTAAATTATATTTTCTTTATGTATGTATATTTGTCACATTAGAATAATGAATTTATAATTCAGGTGTTGCGAAAACTACACTATATCTGAATTTTCTTTTTTTAAACTTAGCATACAAGACGGTGTCGGGTGTAAATGGACCTCTGGTCATCCTTGATGAGGTGAAATTCCCCAAGTTCTCTGAGATTGTACAGCTTAAGCTTGCTGATGGCACACTCCGCTCAGGACAGGTACATACTTCAGAAAAGTTACTTTTAGGTAATACAGTTTGGCCTTGATTGAGAATCAAATGACATACAAATTAAAACCTATGAACTATGGTGTCAAATTAAAGACAGTGCCAACTGAGGTAGTGTATAAGTTAATATGTTATTGGAAAAAACTAAAACTTATACTCCTTATCGTCTAAATTACTTTCTTAATCATTCTAATGTAAAAAAAATAAGTAGTTAACATGAAGTACTGAAATTTTTTTCTCCTAATGCTTTGATTATATGTAATTATTTTTGAATTCACAAAAGTCATATTTGCATAAAATATATGTTAAAATGATGATAATGATGCTCACTCTCTGGACACTTAAGGTAATCTATTGACATTGAACTCTGCCAATCCATGGTGGGTTTCGTGTTATGCACTGTGATATGGACCATGTGATAGGAAAAACTACATACTAAATGCATTTACTCATTATATATTGAAGAACACATTTACAATTTGTGTTCTTCAATATTTTGATTTTAAGCAGTTACATTACCATGATATCATGAGACAGTTGAGACCTGTTTTATCTTTATGCGTCCAAAAATTATCTCAAATAATATTATACGGGTTCCCTTCAGTATTAGCCCAGCTAAGGGATCGTGGACCCCTTGCCTGTCTATAAATACATATCTAAATAATACAACATATGTTGTTTAACGCAAAATATCTTCTTGGACAGGTACTTGAGGTCAGCGGCTCCAAAGCCGTCGTCCAGGTGTTCGAGGGCACATCGGGAATTGACGCTAAAAACACTCTTTGTGAGTTCACTGGCGACATTCTGCGTACACCCGTATCAGAGGATATGTTGGGTTTGTTATATTTTTTTTCCATCATCATGCATTCACAATTTAACACACAAATTGCACATTGTTGAATATATTCCACTTCCCAAACAGGTGTAAATTAAATAACTAAATGAACAAATATTGTACCAGGCAACTGATAAGTATTATTCGTGCGTAAATCAATATTTTTGTATTAAAGATAGTTTATATTATTCCAGTAGTGAGGAATGGACACATATCCTCTGGCACAAGAGACAGGTTCACTATCCACTACGGCCTACGAATCGGGTCGTCAAAAATGTACAGTTCAAATTTTAAATGGTTCAGTCAAGTGCCTTGAAGACTATGAAAAATTTCCTATCATTATTCAATGTCCATAGTTTTCTTAATTTATTTCAATCTAATTTAATTTCTGACAAATATCTACAAAAAAGATAACTCATCTCATCACATGTAGCCGACTAGAATCTTCATATTCTTGATATAATCTTATGCTTCAAATGCTTTTATTTCAACAATCAACATTCGAGAAAACGAAATTAATTTTACTTACTTTAAAATTATTTTAGTATGGTTAACAAAAGTTTAAAAAAATGGAATATGCATTGGTTGGAGATTTTGATAAATTCTTCTGTTATAAAGTAAATTTTTAAAGACTGTATTTGAAAAATTTACTTGTATTTAAATAATAGGCTAGTAATCAAGTTTGCTGAAGTACCTCTAATGACTATGAACTCTTATTAAAAAATAAATTGCAGACAGTTAATTATAAACCATTATAATTCCCCGTTAGGTCGCGTTTTCAACGGCTCCGGCAAACCGATCGACAAAGGCCCCCCCATCTTGGCTGAGGACTTCTTGGACATTCAAGGTCAACCCATCAACCCCTGGTCCCGTATCTATCCCGAGGAGATGATCCAGACAGGTACATAAAATTCGATCTTAATTCAATCAATATTACATATCCTGTTATTGAGGACATTTTTGGTAATTACAACATGGTGTCCACCAAGGACATGTCTTATTACCAGAAGTGTTTGTGTATTTCAGTGCAATGGTACCAATATATACCGATTTATTTCGGTTACTATTTTCTTAATTGATAACATGCCGCAGTCAGAGACCGCGATGATTGCTTAACTCACATCAAATTCGTTTATGAAATGAATTTAATGCTAAGTAAGCGCTAATTGACATTTATCAGTTCTGCGTGACATTGTTTTCATTATCACATGGTGATGGTCGGCGCCATCTTTGTGGTTGGTTGTCCGCCACTTTGAGCTAATAAAATTTCGAATATTCGAAAAGATTGTGAAATTGGTTACCGCCATTTTCAGACGAATGCGACTATAAATCTTCAAAAACAGACCACGATTTGCGACTATTAGGTCTCGAAGACATGTTGGTGTTGATGGTGGTGCTGTAGATATTTTTGGGCTCTCATGGCTGTATGTAGAATTAAGGGAGATATTGCTGCTGCCCAAATGGACTGGCTCCACCAGGGAAATATCGCGGCCTACCTTGAGGCGACGTAAAATGGCAGTATTTATATATGTTTGAGGGTGGTGTTAACTGATAGTCCACACCCCTTATAATAATACTGCTGGTGCAGCGAAAGCAGCAAAAATCCAGGACGCAAGGGATCTTAGTGGTCATTTTCTACCCTATAAAAAAAAAAGAGGATGACAATAATAACTTCCAATTGTGCCACAGGTTTAAGGTAACTTAACGAAAGGTTCTTGTCTCCACTAGGTATCTCTGCCATTGACGTGATGAACTCCATTGCCCGTGGACAGAAGATTCCCATCTTCTCTGCTGCCGGTCTCCCGCACAACGAGATCGCTGCCCAGATCTGTAGACAAGCCGGTCTTGTCAAGGTATGGATATCGCTTATGTTAATAATTCTTGCCAAAACATAGAGTGGGAACAATGTACTGACTCCTGAGGATGTCGAAGACCGGGTAAAGTGGAGGAGATTAAGTAGGAAGGCAGACCCTGGCAATAGCCGGGATTAATGCCAGGTAGAAGAATAAGAAGAAGACATAGAGTGCGGGACATTCATTGGATGGTACATTTCAATATTTGTATCTAAAGTTTTATGACATCAAAACCACGTCGATAACAATTTTGCGTTCTCAATCAGGTACCCGGAAAGTCGGTGCTCGACGACCACGAGGACAACTTCGCCATCGTGTTCGCCGCTATGGGTGTCAACATGGAGACTGCCAGGTTCTTCAAGCAGGACTTCGAGGAGAACGGCTCTATGGAGAACGTGTGCCTGTTCCTCAACCTGGCCAACGACCCCACCATCGAGAGGATCATCACACCGCGTCTGGCCCTCACCGCCGCCGAGTTCTTGGCCTACCAGTGCGAGGTGAGTCTCCCCTGGACACTTTGAACTAGGTTATATTTTCCGTAGATCAACGACGCTTTCGCAGCTTGCTTTATAATTGTTTAATTACTTGATATCACTTCCTCGATCATAAACTCCAGCTGGTGATAGAGCAGGCAGTTGCACTAAGGGGCAGGTCCGTCCGAGTAAGTAAGCTTGCCACAGTCACACATAAAAAAAAAATAACAAATAAAGTTAATAAATACATCTCCTGTGTGTAAAATATTGTCGTTGTATACCTTTGTCTGACCATTTTGTTTGTCCGCAGAAACACGTGCTGGTCATCTTGACCGACATGTCTTCGTATGCCGAGGCCCTGCGTGAGGTGTCCGCCGCTCGTGAGGAAGTGCCCGGCCGACGTGGTTTCCCAGGTATATTTTTGATAAGTTTTTTTTCCATAGTAATGAACTTTTTTTGATGCTGAACTATGTTGAAGCGTCTATAATATAATTTAGTGACAGCTGTGATTGAAAATAGGTTGTAATTGATCATTTCAATACATGTTAGTTTATTGATATTTTCTAGATACTTAGCTTTAGAGTTTAAGATCAGTCAGACTATTTTTAAAACGTCTCTGACTTTCTGTTTCAAACTTTCAAATGAAAATGTCTCCAACACCATTTGGGAAACACTGGCTGTCGTTGTAGTTTGAGAAACACTATACTAACATATTGGTGTTAATTGCCCAGGTTACATGTACACTGATTTGGCCACCATCTACGAGCGCGCCGGACGTGTCGAGGGCCGCAATGGCTCCATCACCCAGATCCCAATTCTTACTATGCCCAACGACGACATCACTCACCCTATTCCCGATCTGACGGGTTACATCACTGAAGGACAGGTGCGGAACTATAATTTAGTTTATTATGTATACTACTCTAATATATTGCAATGTTTCAAGATTGACCCATGAAAACGTTCTGGTTAAATATACATGTTTCTGTTTCTTTTAATGATTTCAATAAACAGTAGCCAAGAGAATTGCAAGGGCTTAGCTATATTCAATGTATTGCAGTTTAATAGACCTTTTCAATTATGTTGTCCATTTGTAAGTGTTATGTAGGTACACAAGGACACGAGTTAAACTACTTCAGCTAAAAGCACACCGTTTTATTGTTCGGTAAGACTGCCTAAATTAACTTGAAATCCTATCACCAGATTTACGTAGACCGACAGCTGCACAACAGGCAGATCTACCCGCCGGTCAACGTGCTGCCATCGCTGTCGCGTCTGATGAAGTCCGCCATCGGTGAGGGAATGACCCGCAAGGACCACTCCGATGTCTCCAACCAGCTGGTAAGTTGATCCTTTTTAATCGTTACACACACCAATTATGAAACTATGATTTATCGCGTTTATGTTTAGTTTTATTTCCCGACGTTAATCGGTAACATTACAGCGTTTATGGACACGGGAAAGACAGAGGCGTTAGACCCATTACCAATTAAACCATGCGGCCGGATAACCTCACGGAGCGAAAATCTCGACATCTATCTATGTCCTTTCTAATTGCATTTTTGCAATGCTTGGCGCCATCTAGTGTGCATTGTTTACAGCATGCAACACCTTGCAAAGAGCATTCACCAATGAAAATTTGTAAAGAGATGTCGCCATTGCTCCTAACATTGGCCATTCAAAATTGGATGAATAATATAATATAAATACTGATGCAACATATTTGACGAAATTTGAAAGCAAAATTACGGCATTTCTTTTCTGAACCGTTAGTAGTATTTTGAGCATCATTCTCCTGCCCTTATCCCACCTACAGTCTGTTAAATATAGGTTGATACGCAGGAAATTGACATAAAAATATTGATCTCGTATATGAAGTTCCGTATTTTTTAAACAAAAAATGTACTTAACACAATGTGGTTTATTAATATCAATGTCCCGCGTATTATCGTATATTTAACAAACCGTAGGTGGGGTCGGCACAACATGTGAATCGTGTTGTAAGCGGTTTTGGCTATGTTGTTTACGGGCCGCCCGCCTACCTGACGTCAAACCGCCTTGGGTAAACATACTGAATAAAGATATTTGAATCTAACCTATAATTTTGTGTCCACAGTACGCTTGCTACGCCATCGGTAAGGACGTGCAGGCGATGAAGGCCGTCGTCGGTGAGGAGGCCCTCACACCTGACGACTTGCTCTACCTCGAGTTCCTCACCAAGTTTGAGAAGAACTTCATCACACAAGTGAGTGGAGACACATTTATCTATTTTTTTTCCTTACAGTGTTCTCACTGTACTGGGAGATTGTCCTGGCCTTGATATGTTTTACTTTAACAAATTGTACATTGGCAAACATCCAAAGAGTATGAGAGAGTATATGAGATTTATTTTTGTGAGAAAGTTCCAAACGAGCTGGCGGTTCAACTGATGTTAAGTGATATCAACCACCCATGGAAATTTGCAACACCCGTAGGTTAGCAGATGTGTTGTCACCTTTTAATAAAGTTGGCCCTCCCTACCTCACTCACCAGACGAAATGCAGAAGTATCACACTTCCACTTCCAATCTTCTGTGAGGTCGTGTTTGTGTACTTACCCGGACGGACCTGCCCATTAGTGCAATAGCGAAATATAAACAAATATCGATATTTTTTCGGCATACCTAGTACGATATTTATTTAATTAATCACTTCCAGGGAAACTACGAGAACCGCACCGTGTTCGAGTCGCTCGACATCGGCTGGCAGCTGCTGCGTATCTTCCCCAAGGAGATGTTGAAGCGTATCCCAGCTTCGACCCTCGCCGAGTTCTACCCCCGCGACTCCCGCCATTAGGCTCTCAAACACCACAGTCGCATCGAGGTCCCCGACTCTATTTTGATGTGGCAACACCGTTCGAGATTCTATTTATGGCCATAGTGGTCCCCGACTCTATTTTCATGTGGCAACACCGTTCGAGATACTATTTATGGCCGCATCTTAGTATTTATTTTACGCGTTACTTCGGTAACATTGAATGTTGGTCCGCGCGCGTTTTACATCGAAAAAAAAAAATTGTGTGTCTTAAATTAATTTATTCAAAATGCATCAGAGTAGGGGAGCGGATCGAGTAAATCTTGTAAGATAAATAAATACTGTTTATTAGTAAGTTGTTAATAGTTTATTGTAATGTGTATTATCTATATTACGAGCAAAATTATAACTATCGTGTTGCTATGATTAATTTCTAAATTGTCTATGGTTAGACGCAGCCAGTGTGTTGTTATTGCAGATATAAAGATGTTGTCGTCTTTGTACATATATATATTTTCCCTCGAAAGTAGTACGAGATGAATTATTGAAATATATAATAAAAATGATATTTCTTTCACTGGTGCTTTGGACACATTTTATGTTTTCTGTGCACAAAATTGTTGAAAACTTTATTTAAAAGTCAATGTTGCCATTCACGTCCGAGTGTGATATTTAACTTCTAGAGATGTACATAGACTATTAAAGTTTCATCGCTGAGTAACATATGTTACATTCCAAAATTTCTTTCCACAACTACATAATATATCGATGATTCAGTGACTCTATGTTGTAAATGTTACTGATTATATTGAATGGAAATAAATGTATAGAAGTTTCATTGTTCTTTTCACCTTGATTCCTTTAGTTTTATAAAATGTTCGATATATTTTTATCCTTTAACCGAGCAATCCTTGTATATATATATTCTTCTATATAACCGGAATCTCGGAAACGGCTCCAGCGATTTTCATGAAATGTAGTATGTGCGTAGATTCGGGGGCGAAAAATCGATCTAGCTAGGTTTCATTTTTAGAAAATGGTCTCTTATCGCTGTTTTCTGGGAATGAATAATATCATTCGAATATGACGTTAATTTCGCCCCATAAGAAATGTTATAATAGCTCGGTCGGTAATCGGGCGGCCTCTAAACAGACGGCCGTGGTTCGTATCACGATCATTTACACAACACTCTTCTTTGTACTTTTTTTTCGATTCCAGATCATTGCTTTCTTTATTTTTTATTTTTTGTTGATCCAGATGATTTTGTTGTTTTTTCCCTTTTTTTTAAAGTTGTTTCTTTGCGAAAATCACCACTTCATATTTTCTCATTATTAGGTCGGTAAGATCGAAAAATATCATGCATATTTCATTACTCAGTAATTTGTAATCTAAATGTAATTTTCAAAATACACGATTCACCAAAAACAAAAACAAACCGAGCAAAGCTCGGTCCTCCAGGTACTATATATTTCATAGACAATGACGAGCAGAAAAGCATATGAGGTTCTTAAGTTCTGAAAGAAAAAAATAGTGTACTTCATAAGAAATTGCTTTTTTCTTAATAGTGTTTAGAATTCTTTGGAACGAAGAACGAAATCGAGTGACAAACAATCCAAGATGAAAGTTCGAACCTCGGCTTTGATCGCAATCGATAAGGGCATCTACCCAAAGGACAGAATTAGTTGTAATTATAAAATAATAATACATAAAAAGTTGAAATTGCGATTTTATTCCGAGACGAGATGTATCGGCGTCGCAGTATCGTTTAAGTATGAAACCTAGGCCTCCCGCCTTCCAGTGCTACCTCTTCGGTCGCCACTCGGAACTATTACTCCCCATCGGTCAACAGTTCTTGGAGCGATGGCAACTTTCGGTCTAATCCGGAGAGCTATATCGGTTCTTCGTAGAACTTCCTCGCTCCAGAAATAAGAAAGGTATAAAAAAAGAGGCTGATTACAATCGTCGAGTATTAAAAAGAGTTTCTCATAAGAAAGGTATAAAAACTAGTCCGAATCCGAATTTTTTCGAACATTGCACGAGCGACGAGCCGAAATAGTTCTTTCAATTGACCGGATATTGTCACGCAAAGAAACTCCGAGCATAGCTCTCTCCATAGCTTTTAGCTTTTAAGACCGCATCTCAGTGCCATACGGCCCTGGCCATACGGCATCTCTGGCAACACACCGATTATACACCGTTGTCTTTAGACACCTCTTAGGAATCTTGGACGAGAAGATGTCGCGGAATTTTAAAAAGAAGTTTTACCAGAAACTTGGAGTAAAGTAAAAAGTAACAGCCTATACATGTCCCACTGCTGGGCAAAGGCCTTCTCTATACAGAGGGTATCAGCGACTTCACATATCTTCGAAATATTTTTTTTTATTATTTTCGAAAAATATGCAGGTTTCCTCACGATGTTTTCCTTCACCGCTGAGCACGTGATAATTCAGCACTTGAAATTAACAATTTCATTGGTGCCGGCACCGGGGATCGAACTCGGTTTGCTCGATTATATTGAATTAAAGGCGAGCGCCCGGACTATCACGGCTCAATAAAGGCAATAGCCTCAAGACTTCAACAGAAAAACAGTTCTAAGTTTGAACTTGGAGGCTCACAAAAATATTGTAAGTTTACTTACATAAGGGCGCTAGGTGCAGTCCCATTTTTATTTGAGTGTACAATAATTTATGTTTCGCTCATGGTTTTTGTAGTGCCGGTTTAGAATTCAAAATCACTAACTAATACATCGGTTTTTAGAATTTTTTAATGTAAAGAACGTTATAGTATCGATGTTTTAGAAAATATTATTGAATTTTAATCAAAATTAGGAATAGAAAAATGTATAGTTTTTTTTTTAGTATATATGTAAGGCATTACGAAAATTATTACCCTTACGACTGAAGTAAAATTTCTTTAGATCCATCCATATGTAATCTGTATGAATTTACAATTTTATTCACTTTAAACGTAGAGTATTGAATGTATTGAACAAAATATTAATTTATAAAATTGTACAAGAACGAAATGAAATTACGCAATAAGGAAGCATCGTTGGCGTAAATTCACTATCACACTGCATTCACCAGCTTACTCCCCTAGTCAAACGTGTGTAAATAAGTTTTACGTCAAAAATATTACCGATTTTAAACCTCCTTTTTTGTAGTCGGTTGTAATGGAAGATTATGTATAGATAATAGAATTCTTACAATGTTTCGATTTCTGACTTACCTTTAATATAGTGAGTCATCGAGATACTAAATAGAAATATTTTTCGCTTTTGTTTTTCACGACAGAAACCTAGTGTCGATTATGGGTTTAATTTTCTCATGAACACATACGAATGGTACGTCGATTTGAAATTGTTTTCCTTAACAGCAGGAAGGTTTAAACTACAGGACGGCATTATTAGTTAGTACTTTAAACATCATAATAAATACTGAAGTTGATAAGTTTCAGGTATATTAATATCATAGGCGTCTTATGGGATCGAAATAAAAAAATAATCTTTTGGTTTTCATTTATTATAATAAATTTAAAGTAAGTTTCACATGTAGTGCTGATTAAATGCTGTCTATAATGAACCTTCGCGAACCGGCAAACCGACGAGACAATTTGTCGGTACGCTTTTTCATTTAATAAAAAAACACTATAAATAGATTACACTCGCCGACGGTGGCTACACTGGAATGACGACCCCGAAGGGAGTTGGGAGCGTCAAGCGTGAAATTTTGTACAGGTCGGCGTAATTATTATCTAAACGTTCCGAACGGGCTGACTATAGTGCGGGTAGACGAGCAGTACGATGACCAACAGTCAGCCGGCGATACCGGCGATCGCTTCGGACGCGAAGTATTTCACGTCCACGTCCGGGTCCACGTTGAGCTTCTCCAGCACCGGCTTCACTTGGGGCTGGATCACAGCCGGGTCCAAGTACGGCGCCATCTTCTGCAGTGTCTTCGCCACGTTGAAGCGCACGTTGGCCACGTTGTCGTCCGCCATAGAGAGGACCGTGGGCAGGAGCACTCTGGTGGTAATGTCCTTCCCGCACACTTCGGACAGGACGTTTATGCAGAAGAGGTACGTCATGCGGTGCAGGTAGTTCTGTTCGCGGGACATCGCCATCACTTTGGGTATCACGTTCGTCTCCGCCCATTGCGCTCCGTACTGTTCCACCAGCTTCTTGAGGTTGAGCGTGGCCGCCTCGCGGATCGCGTAGACGTGGTCAATGAGCCAGGACATGCAGAGGCCGGTGAGCTTCTCGTCGAAGAACTCCTGGCCCAGTTGGCCCGCGAGCAGCGGCATGTGCTCGATGATGGCCAGCCGCACGCGCCACTTGGTGTCCTCGGCTAATTCTACTATAGCGGGTAGCAGGGATTGCACCAACTGCTGTATGCCGATCACTTCGTTGACGCACTCCAAGTTGGAGATGATGTTCAGCCTCACTTCGGGGCAGTCGTCCTTCAACTGGGTGAGGAATAGCGGCAGCAGGTACTCGATGGTGTTGTGTCTGCCCACTATGGGGCTCAGGCCCATTATGACGGACGCTAGGGCCGATTTCACATGCTGGTTGGGGTCGCACACCAGGTCCTTTATCTGGGGCAGGATCATAGTCATTATAATGTGCTCCTGGTGGGCCTTGTCCAGGTTCATACAGAAGTCCTTTACCTGTGAAATTAAAGTACAGAGAAGTGTGATATAATTGTTCAGTTGAAACAGATGAACCAAATATTCCGATATAGGGAAAGAGAAGTAAGCAATTTATGCATGGATTAATTTATACACTCAAGGTGAAAGTTAAAATGAGAATGTTTTGTGGATTCTATAATTGGAAAAACTTTCACTGCTGTGGCATCCCGAAATCTATCTAATTTCAGTATTGCTAAAAATTTTATAAAGACTGTACAAATATCATTCACTTAGCTCAATAGGTTACACATATCTGGTTGACTTATCCCGACGACACAGATCTGAATCGATATTTTTCGATAATTTATCTACAAAAATGCACATTGTGAGTAAATGCCATATATATTAAATTACTAAATTTTTTTGCTATTTGGTCTCATAATTCATCAGATTATTCAGTGGTCATTATCTTGTCAGATAATTTTATGACTGTATGAAACCTTTATAATATTGTGTTTATAATTTACTTGACGCAGAGCAACAAAATAAAGATTATGGTTTTCAATGAAATTTTGTTTACTTTGCCAGCTGCAGCCGCGCGTACTTCCGACTCTGTGTCCTTAAGAAGTGCTTGGAATATTTGCGCCAAGTCTGTGCGAGCCAGCTCGGGTCCAACTGCCTGCTGTAGTTCCACAAATCTGTAAGAAAGTTCCATTTAAAACTTGAACCTTTTGAAGATGCAGTGGCGTAGCTAAAACAATGCGTGTGGTTGTGGAATCGCCTTGCGACGTTCTTTGGAGGATTCATGTGTTGTATAGAAAAAATATTGAAAAATTACTATGATTCACCTGTTACTAATAAATTTGTCATGTAATAACTGCCGAAATTTAACGTTCTATTGTGATAAATAAATGTCTTTAACCTAAAATACTTATTTATTTAAGACCAATATTACTAAATATTGCTGACTTGTATATTTATGGAGGATTGTGGTGTTTTTGGGGTGGAGATCTCTGTTCAGCAGTGGACTCAAACAGGATGAATTAATTATAATGCAGTGTTTATTTTTATACACCTTTTTATCCTATAAAATAACTTATTTTCCCTCGATAACAGCCTCAGGAGAGGATACACATAGTGTGGGGGGCCTGACATAACAGAAATTATTATATGGCTTACTCTGAATAAACAAATGAGTGTTACAAAGTTGTAAATGAACTCACTTATCGGCCACCATATAACGCACTCTCCAAGAGGTGTCGCCCGACCTCGCTCGTACGGTGGGCATCACGAGTTGCTCCATGTCTTCTGGAGGGAGTAAAGCGGCCACAGCGGCACAGGCTTCCGCAGCCAGGAGTCGCACCGAGTCTTGCTCATCCTATAACAAGAATTATGCCTAAACTTGATCACAAAAAGAGCATATCAACTCTTTAGCTTAGTAGTTGGAGAGTCTTAACTTGATCAGACAAAAGAGGATATAGATATGTACAAATGTAGAAAAATAATAAATATCATCTAATCTCATTTGTCATCTGTATATGATTGGATATTTTATTGATTAGGAGGACTTAATGGTTTATACTATTGTGTAGAATTTGTTCTTGCGATTTTAATGGTGTAAGAAAAATAATTTTGAAAAATGTGGAGTTACTATTGTACGCCTCTGAGGTACAGAATTATATGTATACGTCACACTAATAGTTGTCTCGCGTGGGAATCCTTGAACCCAATACCTTGGCAACTGCACGGAGCCATTTAGCCTATACCTGGGGCGGTACAGTCAACCCCGCACACGTCTCACCTCGGCCAGCATGATGAACATCGGTATCAGGTCGCTCTTCACGTACTCCACCTCGACGACGCGCGCAAACTCGCCGAATTTGTACGCGGCCGCTCTGCGCACCATTGGGGTGTCATCCTGGCAGAGGGAGCGGAAGTGCTGCCTCAGCTCCGCCTTAACGGGCGCCGACACACGCGTGTAGCACACGCTGGAATGGGATAGAGCGAATTAATATCACCATAATCACTCTCCCGCGCTAGAACCACCTATATTTGGTCCACTCAATGTGTGAATCGTGTAGTAAATGGCAATCAGGAAAAATTATCTGTGGATCACACAAATACTCGTCCTATGTGGGAGAACCCAACCCACCACCCTCGGCGCCGATGTCAATAGCTTAGCAACTGCGCCACCGATTCGTCTTACGTACTATACCTATTAACTACTAATAGTTAGGATTTTTTTCCGATCTGCACCCAAACCTCGGCGCCAAATAATGTATTTTTGCACATTACCTATGTCAGTTGTTATACAAGTGCGACAGAGATAACGCTTAACTTAATATGTCTCTCTAACCCCCCAAACTTTTTTGTGTCGTAGACCCCTTGCCATTTTCCGTGTTGGGTAGACCCCCTACTTACCTGATATTGATTTCCTGTAAATTTCTACATTTATTAATTGAATTTAAATTAAATCTCCTCAAAATAAAATTTTGTATCTGTCATTTAATGTTGTAAAATAAATATTTTTTAAAATATTTTCGTAGCACTTTCCTTTTCAAGGTTCAGGAAACGAATAAACGTATTTGTCCCACATTCGTATTTATAGAGTGACGAATTGAACAAGTCAGTGCAAGGTAGCGAAGCTCTGAGACTGCGAATCTCAGGTTTTTACAAGTTCAAAATGTATTGTGACCACAAAGCGAATACCAACATCCTACAACTTACACAATTTTATAAACATATATAATAAAATTTTTTACTTCATAGGTACTTTTATAAATAATGTATATGTTTTGATATTATAAGACAGTATGATGTAAGTAAATAGGTACTATCAGTGTATGTGTTGAGATCCACTATCGTGGACCCCCATTTTAATTTCATGGACCCCCAAATTTTTTTTCGCTGACGTAGACCCCTTGCAGGTTGTCATAGACCCCTAGGGGTCGATATAGACCCCTTTGGGAATCACTGCTCTAAACTTTTCTAACTTATTCAAATTTTGTCCATTTCATTGTCCAAAGCTTGACATGCAATATCTTTCACCGAGTAGTGTACTCATTTATGAATTATGTGAAATGAGTTTCTTTTTAATTTTTTTCAAACTGCAACCCCCTAGGTATTGTAGACGTTCATGGGCGGCGGTGATCACTTAACATCAAGTGAACCACCTCGCTTGCCGACATGTATGGTATTTTTTTATGTGAAAAGTTGTCCAGACGGTTCACCTGATGTTAAGTGAATATCGCCGCCCATAGACATCTGTTACACCCGAGGGTTGTAGATGCGTCGGCAACTTTTTGAAAATTGGGCTTGCAAAATATTCACATAATCACATTACATTCCTGCAGGGACTCACAGGAGACCGTCGTAAAGTGGAAGTATTATGTCTTTCCGTTTCGTCTGGTGAGTGAGGTAACCTGGGCCCATATTTTAAGGGTTTTCAATGCATCTGCGGACACTAAGTGTAGTAGATATCCATGTGAGTAATATCATATGATGTCATAAAAAAAGGCACTACCTGAACAATCCGCAGGCAGATGCCCTCGACGTGAACCAATCACCGCTGGCCAGGCGTTGCACTAGCGGGACGAAGTGCTGCTCTAGGGCCTGGGGTGTGTGATGGGCAGCCACTGCCCTGAGCGAGGCAACCGCTTTGTCGCGCACCACCGTCTCCTCGACGGTGGCGAGCGACTCCAGCGGTGGGACCAGACAGTGGGCATATTCACCGCCCCCCACGAGGTTTATGAAGTTACCTGCAAATAAGGATTTTAAAAGTGAGACTTCATTCATGGTAATAGTCACCCGGAATGAATGACCTGGCATATTGGGAATAGAAAGTATATTTTATAGATCTTTTTAAAGAATAACCATTAAAAAAATTCAAATATCATATGTTAATGATAGCCTTCTCTCCTTTATTAAAATTATTATAATATTTTATAAGGCAGGGATAGTCTATTCATGAATGACAACTCTGAAGTAAACTTAGAACACATGAATTGTGCAAACTGGCCATGACCTTAAGTCAAGTAATTTTACACCAGTTTACTTGACGGTAATATTAGACCTGAACATGTATAAACTTTGAATGGCTCTGTAAGTTTTATAGATATAGAGATATTGTTGCAGTAAATGAAGCATTATAACTACTATACGGATACCCACAGATTTTTAATAAATGGATATTTATATATTTACAATTTCTTCAGTTAAAACTTATAAAATAAATGAGTCATTAAAATAAGAAAATGTCTAGCCATTTTAGAGATAAGCCAGAACAAAGAGACAGGCAAAATATGTAAAAAATTTCATTTTGGTATATGTACTGTGTATATATATCCCTATGCATTTAGTAAAAGTTTTATTGTAATCTTAAAATTATCTGTACTGATAATTTTAAGTTGACAATACAAATTAGCCACAGGCATAGTACAAAGAATTGCTGATGAATGGTATACAATAGAATATTTAATTTATATTTTGCAATAATATGTTTACTGTAGCATAAAATTGTTATGTTGCAAGACATACAAGTCACAAGGGAAAACATCTTGATCTGGAACAATAATCTGACTTATCTTTTACTTAATTAAAAAGAGCAACTAAAATATGCCTTCATAATCCTCCTTCACAGTAAAAGTAAGGTATAATTCATATAGTTAAAGTTCACAGAAGCTTGTCATTTAAGGACAAAAATCTGTTACCAAGCTAGGAATAGTGTATGATAAAAATGATGCTAGATTCCCGAACCTAAGTTGCAGTCGAGCCAAAGATACGAATCATGATTCAAAATATACTTTGAATTCAAGTATATATACAATGTTAAAATCTCCTACGTTAAGCTAAAGATCATGTAAAAAAATAAGACAAACAGGTAAAGGGTAAACATAAAAACCAAACTTTAGGCGGTTGGTCAAAATAAATCTGTTAAATATGGCACTTGACATTGCATTTGTTACAGTACAAAATAGAGAAAAATTATTAATTTTATCAAACGTATAGTAGCGAAAACAGCATCAAAAGTCGAATAACTCACCGAGTTGCTCTGCAAGGGCCAACAGCACTTCATCTTCGTCATAAATAGTGTCGGTCAGAAAGGGAATTAGTTCGGAACGTGTGCGCTCCACTCCAAGAGCTAAAGCGATGGTGGATAGCTTCTTAATGGAATTTAAACGCAATTGCACATCTTCATTTTTGAGCTCGTCGATGAGGACGGCGATGGGATATAATGACTCATCTGTCCCGGAATCGCTGGCTGCCATTATATCTATATTTAGTCACGTATTTTGTTATTTTTAATTGTGTTTCTGGTATAAAACCAAACACCGTGATTTACAACGTTATATTTATAAAAACTGTTCGCGTTTTGAGAGCAAAATGGCAGCATCAGTTATTGGATTCCACTTGTCAATGGTGTCTTATCCCATAGACAAGCAACAAAGTTATGCCCCTGAAGATCTAGTAAATAATTCACATTTTTTGATAATTTATTTAAATGATAAATAGTTGTAAGAATATTGCTTTACGTCTATTGACGTTGATTTTCTACACTATATATTTTTTATTGTAAAGTTTTTTAAATTTTAACTTACATCGAAAATGAAGAAAAAAATTCAAATTAGATTTATTTTATGACAAATAATATATTTTACGTACTTTTTATATTCTTTTAATGTGATTTATTCAACACGAGGTTCAAAAGTTTATAATGGTACCGGATAAAAAAAAATAGAAAAAGCAATCAATAAATTTCATATAAAATTCCTATATTTTTTCTTTTTGACATATTTCATTGTAAAGTTGTCATGTTTAATATAAATAATGTTTAAAATTCAATAATTTTATATGTAATTTTAAATCGTTATGGGACAAGAAGAAGATATCAACGCTTCACTCGCTCACATTGTGTTGTGCTGTGTTTCTGGCCATGGAATCAGTGGGTTTCGATCTCGCAGCTTCACGCATCCGGGGATGCATGTGAATTTTTTTATACACGGAGTAATAGGGTTCCTACATTACCAGAGCAAGTATATTTTTTTAATAAAATTACTATACATCCTCAACAACAGTAATGTTTATCTCCATATTTTCTAACAAATTGGACGATTCGATGACGGCGATGACTGATGTATATCATACATAACTATATAATACTATGTACTATATAATACTATATTTTATGACTATAAAAACTTCAGCAATTCATGAAGTGTTACATGTATAAATTTATAAACTATCAGAATGCTATAAGGATTCAAATTTCGAGACGTAATCAGTATGTAATTTTTTGCAGGTGGTACGTTCAACAATGACTTCAGTCAGGCATACGCTTTCAGTTACACAGCGACTAGATATCTTGCTTTACCATGTCTAATGGCCGATTTGTATCAGGGGGATAATTCGTTGAGCATGTTACACTTGTTGTCGGGCTTGATCCCGTTCACCCTTGCTGTATGTGGAAAGGATAACTCGGAGCTCGGAAACTTAATGGTCGCTTGCAATATAATTTCTTTGTGTCATTACTCATTTGAGGGTAACAGGCATTGGGGGTGGTATACGGCTGGGGCAGCAGTCTTTGCGTATTTCCTGACTCCACAAGTTGGCCCCAGGGTAATGTATCCACTGGGATTGGCTTTAATGGACTACTGTGCGCACAGAATATATCAAGTTCGTATTAGTCCACCCAGGGCTTGAAAGACAAAATGAAGCATAAAAAACAAAGACGAAAAAAATAAACTATTGTCTCTGATATTATAGTTTTAATATAAATACATTAATGCGTAACCTCTTTTACGCCCCAAACCCGTGGGTTCTGTCTAGCCCACCGGTTCTGCGTCAGATGAAGCTTTAATAGTCTCGGGAATGAAAGCAAAAACATCAGTTAATACAAGATACAAGATACCTCTTTTACGTCAAAGTAAAAATTTTTCTATAGCTAAGCCTTTTTGAACTTTCTAATAATTTCTAAAACAACCGCCGATTACTGAGGCGAGACCCTTAGACTCTGGAGTTAAAACACTTATTCATTTCTTTCTTTAGAATTATATTAACCATTTTCTTTTTTGATAAAAATAGGCCGTGATATAGATCACAAATGCCTTTTTTCAAATCGTCTAACATTTGTGGGGCGATGAATTGTCTTTTTTTAACCGAAAAATATTAATGCATTTTAAATTCAACTGTAAAGACACCTGAATTAGGTACTGTTTTGGTAAATATCAGAAATAGCAATATCAGTTTGATAGGTTGTATCACGCAACAGCATAACTCTTCTAGTGATTTGCTTTGGAGGAATTATAGCGTTGCAGGAATATGTCTAAATAATTTAAACGCATTCATATCGAAATTTCTATTCTCTCGTCTCTGTGCATTCGAGATTCGTGCGTTTCGTACTTCCACAAATTCTTTTTCGTATATTATACTTATTATAAGAGAATAACGGGTATCTTTTTTGTTGAGTATTTAGTGAAGTCCGGTCCACGTCTTAGTCGTAATACATTTTATACGTTCCGTAAGATTCTTACATTATAGCATAATAAGTGACCTGCCTAGCATTGTTTTATTATCGCGTGGTTATTTTAAAAACTAACTACTCTTTGACATGTCAGATATTGGGTTCCAAACTTGACTGGCGTATTCGATGATACTACGTATATCCATCTGTACAGTATAGATTGTTGTCTTGGCCTCTTTAAAACAATTGTACGCGCCCTTAAAGATTGAATCTTGTAGGATTTGCGAATAGTGACATCTATGAGGTTTCGAAAAGTAAAAGTAAAAAGTAAAGTAACAGCTTATACATGTCCCACTGCTGGGCAAAGGCCTCCTCTATACAGAGGGTATCAGGGCATAGTCCTCCACGCGGCCCCACTGCGGATTGGCGGACTTCACATATCTTCGAAAGCTATTTTTTTTTGTTATTATTTTCGAAAATATGCCAGGTTTCCTCACGATGTTTTCCTTCACCGCGGAGCACGTGATAAGTCAGCACTTAAAGTTAAAAACTTCATTGGTGTCGGCACCGGGGATCGAACTCAGGTTGCTCGAGTATATTGAATTAAAGGCGAGCGCCCGGACACTGAGCTATCGGACTATATTGGACACACATTGTAACTTTTTCTTTTTGATTTTGTTTTGTTTGTCTCAGCTTCTCATCAGTGAGTGAAATTTATATTGCTGTCTGTTTTGTTTTTTGTTAATAAAAATTCTGTACTTGTTAAAATGGAAGGTGGGCAAAATGCGATTATCCTATTTAACCTCTCAAATTAATTAAAGAACGAACAAAATAATAATAACTAATGAACTAAAATAACAAAGTATCAGTAAGGTTTCCAGTGCTGCCAACTTTGAAGGGATCTTTCCCTGTTAGAACTCATCAGAAGAGACGCAGAAAGGTAAATAAGTGTACTTCCAGTTAATTTTGTGGTAACCCGTATTATTGTGACCGGCGTAACCTCTCCATTCCTGTAACAGAAGCCGGCACGGCTCCACCACAAAGATCCATCCTCTATCATACACAACCATACATTCCAGCATACACAATCATAACGTAACTAATCTTGATATGATTGTGGTTGCTTAGCTGACCCAAGTTTGTCTATGTTTTGTCGTGTTTAATCTATGGGTCATTAGTTGTTCGCCGTTCAAGACAAACCTTTGTTTTAAAAGTTTATGCGTTGTTTATGCCGACTTTGGACGCAGTTGGCTAATGCATCCACAAAACAAATTGTCTGCCTCTGACAGTTTAATTGTGCCGCCTTTTGACCCGTTTGCGGATGACCGATGATTCAAAACTTTTAATGGTCCTATTTTGTTTCTATAATAGTAGAGAAACATAATATTCCTAATCATTGTAATAATTTTAATAGTAGACGCTGATATAAGAATATTTAAATATTTTCGAAAACTGTTTAACCTGGAATCAGAATCTACCACAGGTTTAAATATTTAGACAAGTCCAAAGGAGAACAAATATAATATTGCATTTAAAATGTTTTCTATTATTTTTATCAAATCTATATAATATAATTATAAACAAGGACTTCGCCCGTGACGTCGTCCCTGACGACGTAATTTATATACTAAAAGCTTCTCCGAAACACGCTGCATCTTTATGGTATAAGTATTATTCCGAACGGTTCATCGGTGCTCGATTTTAGTTCAATATACTTGAGCAACCCGAGTTCAAACCTCGGTGGCGGCACCAATGAAATTGTTAATTTTAAGTGCTGACTTATCACGCGGTCAATGGTGAAGGAAAACATCGTGAAGAAACCTTGCCTATTTTAAAAATAATAAAATATGATTTATACGAAATAGGCTGTAACCTACTTTTTTTCTTTTTTAATTATGTTTGAATATCTGTGTTATTTCCCTGTGAATACGATTTAGTTGTAGCCAGGCCAAAGCTGGCCGGCATCACTATGACCTATTCTCGTATTATTCATATATTGCGCCATTAGGTGACCGCGTCTATTTTATTCAATTGTCTTTTTATGAAAAACGCATTTTTTTTTTCGTTAAAACGATTTTTTCCAGCTTGACCGACGCATATTACAACTCTGTGACAAAATAAATTAATGTATACTTCGTCTCATCTTATATATGGTAACATAGAATTTCATTTTATTTTTCATGTAATGCAATTTCAAGATTTCCGCGCATGATCGCACTGACGCTGTCGAATCCCAAAGTCAGTAAAAATATATTGGACCTCTTTTTCCCAGTGCGGGAAGAATTTTTCTAATACTTGTTTCATTCATTGTTTCTTTTTGCGATGTTTTAGATCTATGTTATACTTGTTGCTAGTCGTAACTCGCTCCGAGCTCACAGTACAAACGTAGTTTCTTTTTCAGATTTCATTTTATCAAAGCGTAATAGAAAACGCTGCAATATTTTAGTCGTAGACACAGTATCGACAAACAGAGCAAGGTAAGGTGAAGGGTTTAAGGGAAAACTCCTCCACGTTACCCCACTGCGGATTGGCGGACTTCACATGCTTTACAAATATATTTTATTATTATTTCGAAAATATGCAGGTTTCCTCACAATGTTTACCTTTACCACATAAGTGAGCACTTAAAATTAACAATTTCATTAGTGCTGGCACCGGCGCATTACATTAAGGGCAACGGTTTTAAACTTAAAAAAGAAAATAAATCTATCTAATGACATTCATTTCTAATCGCTGTCATAACTTGGGTTGGGCATGTCTTACGAAAGAGTCCAAGAATGATTAAAATAAATGTAAACTATGTTGAAA